CAGCAGTCAAAGCCACGGGTCTGACTTGGCCTCGGATTTGGGTTTAGGTTTGAGTTTTGTTGATTCTGATTCTGGGTTTGGGTTGGGTTCCAGTTTAATCGTCTTGTAGTCCAGACAATATAAAAATCCATGTCATATGTTGATTTTAATGGCGTCAATCTGTGCAAACAGTTGGACATTTCACTGTCGTTCCTGTCTATCTGTTTGTCCTTTGTCTGCGTCCCTATCTTTCGTCCTGTCTGGTCTCGTTCTATTTGCTTTCATAATTTGTTTGCGTATTGATTTACATGTCCTGTGGGGGGAAACCGAGGCTACCATTCCTCTTCCTCTCTTTATAATGCATTAAAAAACTGGAGACAGAGTGAGTCCTGGGGTCCAGGGGGTTCCCGTATTGACACATTTGAGTTCTACAACAAATTGCCATGTAGTTTTCACAGCAATTGCAGTCCTTGGGCTTGCAGCCTCATTAGGAATGCAAATGTCAGTGCCATTAAATTTTCAACTGGATATCAAATTTGATGTGGAACTTCATGGGACATTTTCCCAGCCCTCCTTCTACAGCTCTACCCAGGCGGATATTAATCATTAACCAAAGCAGAGTGAGGGGTAGAACCTCCTGTAATTGCTGACCAGCCAGGCGTTGCCATTGCCGGTTGCCGTAGCGTTGAGTGGCGGCCCAAGGGATTCAAATAGAACGGCTAACTATCTGAGCGACGCATCTTGGCCATCATATTGAGGGCTCAAACTGCGTGTATGGTTATGGGGCTTATCAGTATCTTGGAATCTTCAACAATGCACTTGAAAGGGTCTTCTTCTTTCAAGAGCCACAAGTGCCACTCGGTGTGCAGCGAGGCATGATGGACGGACGGGTCGGCGATCGCCTTTTATAGGCTTTTCCTGCGTGGGCTGCCCTTCGGCTGCTATCAGTGGTATGCCCATTGAATGCCCAGCCAGCCCTTGGCGTGGGCTTTTCTTTGTCCCTTCTTTTCCCCTATCTTTTGGGCATTAAAGTGCAATCAGGCGTCTCAATAATTCTCTTTGTATCTGCCACAGATTGTGTTTCTGTTGTTGCTTCGTGACTTACTGACCCTAAAAATTACTTTAAATTTTTAATTATAGCCAAACACTAGAGGGCTCTGTCTTTTTCTCCGTCTCCGTCTCCGTCTTTGGCTCTATCTCTGGCTTTGTCTCCGACTCACTAATGAAGTTCAAATATTCGTTTTTCCCTCGGATCAAACCCCTGGCACATTTTATGCTAATGACAAATGCTTTTATCTCGAGAGAGAGAAACAGAAACGAACCAAAAATTATAAGCAAAATTTTGTTGGCAACCTGCTGCTGCCGCTGCTGCTGCTTCTGCTGTCCCATTCAGTGCCTCCACAAATGTCCGTTCTGTGCCCTGGACCCTAATCATTATGCCCCCGTACGGCGGACCTGGCTGACCCGCAGCCAAAGTTAGTCAAAAGCGTCGAAAGGCAGGGGGCAGGGGCAGCATGAATATTACACGTTTCCCAAGCGAGGGGATGGGAGAGGCTTTCCTGGCCAGGTGGGTGTTTTTCTTTCTTTTGGGTGACTAAATTTATGCATTTTTTTTCCATGTTGCTTTAATTAAATTTCTCTTTTTTTGCTGTTGGTTTTTTGTGGCCGCTAATTTCCAACATTTAGGCGCGCGTCTAATGTTTTCCCTGCTGTTTCTTTCATTCTGTATTTAAATGAGAAAATATGTTAAAAATGCGGACAAGGGATAGGGTGGTTTTTTGGCCCATAATTGCCTTGAAACCACGAGGTTTATTATATCAACATTTGCTGTGGTTAATTTTTTATAACTTATTCAGAAATAGAGTCTCCCCAAAGAAAGACACAGTCTCCCACAGTGAGTGGGAGGCAACAGCTGTTTGATTATGAGCATCGATTAGGCTGGAAAGTTGAACCACTAAATACAGGAACAGCCGCGAGGGGCACAATATAGGGATGAAGGGACACAGGACACTCAGCTGTGTGTGCATGTGCATGTCCTAGATAAAGCAGGTAGAATACCAGGCACACACAATACAGAGATAAGACCCAAAAGATAGAAAGAGAGTCGAAAATTAATGACATTTTTGTGTGTGATGAAGGCATTAGAAGGGTCAAAGGGCAAAGCGAAAGGGGAAACCCTGCTGCAACGACTTCATTTACGAGAAGAATGTCGCTGTTGCAGTCGGTGTCGCAGTGGGAAACCTATACGTCGTGTGGTAAAAAAATTGTAAATCAAATTAATTCAATAGCAGCGTAATAAACGGGTCTCTGCTCTCTCTTCTCCTCGGCTGATTTCCATCTAATGAAAAAAGTAAAAAACCTCACACGTAGTAGAGCTCTACCTCTCCCGCTCCCATTGACGTCACGGATTGACTTTGGGTTAATCCAATGTCTGATCAGTTGGAGAGTTGATCAAGAGAGAGCGAGAGAAAAATAAGTATTTGAGAGTGACAGATTCAAATATTTGAGAGACAGATAAATACTTATTTGAGCGGGAGAACCAACTCGAACCGCTTGCTCAGCTGTTGCTGACTCATCTTTAATCGAGTGTAAAGCTGTGGAGAGCGCTCTCTGAATCGCAAAAAGCGCCCCGTCATACAATAGAAAGACTCAAAAGCCAAGTTTTTGCTAATTATAAACACAAGCCGCCGATAATGAAGTGACGAGCGAGAAAAAACACTTGGCAGATGGAAAAAAAACACAACTGTAGACAGAGAGCAGCCCTAGGAAGCTGCCTTTTAATTAATTTTGAGATTTAATCTTCATATACCCTCAACAGACGATCCATTAGATAGGAACAAGAAAGAAGAATCTTCTCTAAGACCAACAAATTTCTTGGACCTACAATTTTGCATGACTAAAATTGCCATACTGACTATAGGAATGTGTGTAGTATTTATGGAAATATCTTTACTATTTTCTGACACTTCTTATTTATAAAATGAAGGCTATGGTTTAAGAATGCTGAAAGATTGTATGGAACTTCAATTAATTTCTATGTACACACATATTGAAATGTATTTTGAGCTATATAAGGGAAGAAGAAACTAATGTTTATCTTGGAAAGTCCCATTTTCCCACCTACAACAACAAAAAAACATTTTACCACTCTCGACAACTCTAGGGTATATAAACATCGACTCTCGACACAGAGTAAGCTTTATTTTTTCTGTTTATTTATAATTTTGCTGAAAGTCTTGGAAACAAAACAAAGAAAAGCCACTCAGTGTGGGGCAAACGCCCACAGAAACTGACAAAGAGAGAGAGAAACATAACAATGAATCGAAAATCTCAAATGTGTAAGCCCCAAAAGTACAGAGAGACAGACAGACGACAGAAATCAGCAACTGGTTGTAGGAGAGTCTCATTGCGGGTAGGGCAGGGACAGTGCAGAAATATAGCAAAAAACCTTTGTGGTGGTATGACAATTCGTTTTAGTTTTATTTTTGGGCAACTTTTACCGCCTGGCCGCCCGCAGTCGAGCGAGTAACAGTAACCATAACAATAACGGAGCCGCAATTACAGCTACTTTCTAACGTGACCAGAAGACCAGAGAGCAGAGCGTACCATCTTGAACGTTTTCACAGTCTGCCGTTTGCTAGTTTTCTTTCGTTTTTTTGGCAAGAAAACTAAGTAGACTGTTAAATGACTTCCGCAGTTTTACCTTTTGGTTTCTATTGTTAAAAGGGCCCCCCTCTGTGGGGGCAGAGCTTTGGGAGGAGCTTCATGGCTTTGAAAATATTTTAACCTAAATCTTGGTTGAAGATTAAGTCCAAGGCTGACAGCAGAGCGAGCCCCCACAATACTCTTTATCTGAAGTAGAGAAACAGAGCCATAAACTGTGTTTTATTATTTTTCTTGAATAATAGATTGTTCTTCTGAGTGTATGGACATTCATCTGTAATAATTTATGGGTGTGCTCAAATGCGCTGGCACTTAAAATGATAAGCTTTGAACCTCTGATAAGCAGACTCCCGGACTTTTCTGCGTTTTAAAACAATTTAATTTATTGTCGATGCTCGCATTTAGCGTTGATTAAATCTGCTAAATCGTGGCACCGCATTTAAGAGTATGGGAATGCCCGAAGTCATAACAAACGGAAGTCTCTTTTCGGTATTCTCTATAAATGTCACTTGGAAAATGGTTAGTGCTGGAAAAACTTCTATAAATAACTATCTAAATCATTGTCCATTTAATTGCATGAATCGAAAACCGCTTTAAGCCTGCTTGTTGATAACATTTACCAATAAATTCCCCCCACAAAAGTCACTCGTGTGAGGCGCAGAAAAAAAAACCTGTTGAACCCAAGCTCTCTGTGGAGTAAATAAACTTTTTGCTTGTGGCTTTTTCGAAACGGGTTTTTTGGACACAGAAATTACAATAAAAAAACAGCAATGGCAATGCTAATGTAGCTTGAAGCTTTTCGGACAAGTCAAAACTGAAACGAGGTCCAAGTGCGTGTGTGGTTTTTGGCCAGGCAAAACCTCAAACAGACCTCAAACTCAAGGCCGGAATGCACTTTGCAACTTGTCTGCAGAGTTTCCACTGTACTACGGTTCGCACCCGCAAGGAATGACCGCGAAAACAAGTGACACACAGAGAAACCACAGAAGAAAAAGCAACAGAAGACACAGTACAGGTGGGGGGATTGTGCAACGGTACTAATTTGCAGTTATATTGCACTGCAATAAAAGAGGAGAGAGAGGAGACAGATGAGAGGCAAATGAACAGCACAAAAAGCACAATCGAGTGATCTGTATAAAAGTGCGAGTGTGAGGGAGAGCACAGAGATCTCACTCCGATGTCGTTTAGCGCGCGCCAAAGCGAAGCTTAGCACAAAACGCAAAGCAAGTACGTAGGAGAGCAAAGCTTAGCCACCACAAAACAAGTGCGTGACAGAGAGAGATTGGAGGAGGAACACAAAGCACAAATGTAAGAACGAGGGAGAGGGCAATGAGTGCAATCGCATGTAAATTACTTACCGTTTTAAATACTCGAATGTTGGATGTTCCCTCCGTCCGCTTGGAGGTTATCTCTGTTTTCAATCTTATTTTGTATATGAAGCTCGAGTTTTTTGTTAGTTTTAAATGCCTTTAACTTATAACTTGTGTGGCTGGCTCCATCACGCACTGGCGCTCGGCCGAAAATAGTTGAAACAATGAAACGTTGCAAAACATGGATTTATACGACTATTTGGCCGTTTCTTCCACTCCGCCTGTTCGCACTTTTTATGCTACACTTTCACACATTTGCATTTAATTACGTTTTGTGTCTGACTGCTGCTGCTGCGTGGGGGCGGGCTCTCTATGCATCACTTGCCAAATATTGCTGGCCACAAAAAGAGACAAACAAAAGCGGCGAAACACACACGAAACGCGGCCTGGCTTGAACCCAGGTTCCAGTCTCAACATAAAATTACTGCGAGCGTGTTAAGGTGCGTCCACGGCGGCGGATGAGAGAATACTCAGAGCTCGGGGAAGCCATGGCTGCCATGCGACCGATTCGTCGTCGAGAGAGTGAGCGTGTTCATGGCTGCTTTTTCCTTCGTTTCTGGCGTTCGTTGCACTGTTTGTTCACGGAGAGAGAGAGAGAGAGAGAGAGAGAGTGAAATACGGGCTTTTCTGTTCATATAAGAGAGTTTTGTACATTGAATAAGAGTCTTGGGACACACTCTCTATGGCGCTCTCTCAGTTCTCTGTTTTGTTTTGTTTTGGGGGATAAATGCCGGCATTTGTTGTTGTCTGTTTGTTGTCTGTCTTTCCCCGTTAGTTCTTGTTATTCGGGAAAAGTATTACCCAACTTTGAGACCGGTTGGGCTCCAACGCATCACATCCCAGAGACTGTGAGCGCGAGCGAAAGATGGGTGCTCAGCATAATAACAGTTATTATGGATTTATTAGTTGATTAGTTTTCCCCCCACAACTCAAGCTCCCCCGCACTCGCGCACACCCTAGCGGAATGGTAACTGTAATTGCCTGCACGTATGAGCGTTGTTGCAGCAATTAAATTTACACTCCATTCGTAGCTACATATATTACTTTATCTCCCTCTCGCTCTTTCTATTCCCTTCCCTGTCTCTATCATATAATTTAAATGGAGTGGAATTGTCTGCATTGTTTTATGAGTCTATTTGCTGAGTATTTAGGCTGCTGTGCTGTGTGGATGATTATGATAATGCTGATTAGGATGGAAGAGTTCCCTATGGGAATTCATGGGGAGAATACATTTATAAGTTTCAGTTCTTCAGCTATTCTAAATTTAAGTATAATTAATTCTAGGAACCCATTTTTACATTTTTGAAACTAAAAAGTACGATTACATACAAAATCCGCCTTACTAGAATATGTTTTTCTTTTTATTTAATTTAAAGCACGAAAGTGTTTTTATATGTTTCAATTAAATTGGATTAAAAGGTAGAAATAAAAATAGTAGCAGGTGCTAAATGGTTTCCCAACAGACCAATACATTCGCCATACAGCATTCTTGTTGGTTCATTTTTCTGCCACAAATTTGTTCATCGAATCTGCTGCTGCTCACACTCGTGGAATTCTTGGAATAACTCCGATTAGAGGCCCCCGCAGTTTGTGGAAAATCCCTGCAATTTCCCACACCCAGACGGGACACGTGAGCAATTTCCATGAGAGATTTATTCGGTATAATTTGTTTTGTTTATGGTAGAAGAAAAATCTCGCTTTGAATTGTGCCGAAAATTTAATTTGATTTCATTTTCATCAGAGACTCATAAATGGTGCAACAAATGAATTTTGTACGTGCCACAAATGCCAAAGGAGACAGCTAAAGAGGAAGGAAAGGAGGAGGAGGCTGGATAGACCCACATGTGTCGCCGGCACACAGATTTGTGACCATTTGTGCGTGGTTGGCCACGACACGCCGAGCCATAAATTTCGAGATTCTCAATAAACTAATGGCAATTTGTATCCGAAAGATACATTCGATGCGCTGCCCGCACTCACACTCGTTCTCTCTCTTTCTCTCTGTCACGAACAGAATTCCTTGTGTTATTAGTTTTTCCTTTCACTTGGCCTTCTCTTTTTCAATCCCTATGACACTTTTATCACACACGTTCGACTCATCAAAAAGTTAACGACGATAATGACAAACATTTCAAAGGCAAACACTCTGGGGCATGCAACGCCGTAACCAGTTCATCTCCCCACCCCCTCCTTGCTCCACCACCATCCTCTCGTGCGACTGATAAATATCTCTCATATAATGCACGACGTTGTTGTTGGGCAAACACCTTAATTAACTTTTTTCATGAGCATCTTGGCCGGGAAGGGGAATCCAATTCCCCCCCACAATCGTGGCAACTCGGCTTATTTATTAGGGTTATTTGCTCTACGAGTCTCGCTCTCCCACTCTCTCCAGTTGGGTTTGTGAGAGCGGTCCTTTCACACACACACATACGAACACACACACATGGGTATTTCTACCTGCTCATTTTCACCTGAGTACGTGTTAATTTTGTTTATTTATCTTTCTGTTTCTGTTTTGCCGGTTACGGCGCTGCCAAATAGAAAGATTGTATAAATTTCATCGTAAACGAGGATGTCAGCTGGGAGCGACCTCGGGATCACACAAGAGGACAGGGGCACTGCCAGTGCCAGTGGCATTCCCAATTCCAATTAACAGTTGGCAGCACCGCTTTTCTAACCATCACTCTCTCTCTCTCTCCCTGCTGCAAAGATGTTACAACAACATCTGAAATTGTATCTGACACGTTCAACTTTGACGTTGACTTTGACTTTCGTTACTCGGAAGTTTTTTCTTTTTCTTTTCCTTGACAACGTGGGAAATGCAAATGAAAAGTTACCAAGTCTCGATAAACACACACACATGCCAGCATATAGCCAGCAGAGAAAGGAACAAACAAAGGCTTGGAAATGGATCTCCAGTGGGTACACGAGAGGCAAACACAACTTGCACTTGTCTGCCACTGGCATTGTCTTCTGCCACCAGACAAAAGTGTAAGAGACTACATCGTTTTCGCCATATTCTCGAAGGTATCTCCAGGGTTTCCATTGCAGCCATTACTATGAGAGATCATTTTTATGAATTACTTTTCGATTTTTAATTATAATTATTCAAATAACTCTTAATATTTCGAATAAGGAGCAACCATCGTTTATTTCTCATATTCGCCATAGTGAGTTGTTTTGCCTGGGGGTCTGGTGGCTACTTTGGACTCTCTTTGTGCTGGGCATGGGCATGGCATCCATTTCCCACTGGCACTCATCATACCATACCCCTACCCATTCGCATTCCACTGCCATTTCCATTTCTATTTTCACATTTCTGCCTTATTGTTTTTCCATATTTTGCGTGTGTGTTTTGCTTTGGTCTCATTTTCATCTGCTTCCTTTCGATATTTGATATGATTTCGAGTTCCCTTCGGATGATGCTTTGCAGCTACCAGCTACCGTTGGGTCTAGCATCGTTCGGAGTCGTTTCATATTTTTGTTTTCATAAAAAGGCGTTGAAATATGCATATGAGCCGCCGTTTCCCCCTTCTCCTATTCCAATCTTTTCCTGTTTCCAGTCTCGAGTGACTGCCACATTAGAGGCCGCGGCACATGCGCAACATGTGTGAATGTTGCACAGTTGCATCTTGCAACTTACACTGCTGTTGTGCCGCTTGGCCGGAAGTTTGCACATCTCTGAGCCGCATCTGCAGATGCCACAGCCGGATTCCGACTTCTCCAACTTCAAGTTACATTTGCAGCAAATGTAAAAATAATTTTTGCAGCATGAGGCAAATGCAAATCTCAAATGAAATGAAGCGTAAAGGGACGACCTAGGGTGTGGGGCACTAATGCATAAGCAGGCAGCTGGCGGCAACTCCAAAAACTGGTTCAGACCATCGTCATCTAGTTATTATGTATGCATGAAGGTGCTTGGGCTTATCAAATTAGAAGTGCCAACTGCTTGCAGGTGCCACACTCGATGCTCATACATGGGCACACACACATAAACATCCTGTCGCGTGGCATGCCTCGCATCATCTACAGCAATTAGGATTTGTTAGCAGCAACAACTTGAAGTGATTCAGGCATTTTCCATGGCCATTTCATAAATTCTTCAACTGCTTAATTGATGTTTCCGCCTCTGTCAGAGATCAAGGCGCATTTTATAAACATCCAGACAGAAGGAGTCTCTCTCCGAAAAGTGTAATTTATAAGAAAATTTATTAATTCAAATTGTGTTGCATGCCCCATTTCAGAAGAGTTGTGCAGTCGCTGGATGATGCATGAAAATAAACAAAACGTAAACTCCGCGGAGCATTCGAGGAGCTGCTGTGGCAGGGATTGTCTCTGGCGTGTGTGAGTGTGTGTGTGCCTGTGCCACGGATGTCCCCAAAAGCGGAGTTGACTTCACAAATCCACGTTGACATAATTTGCGCCGCATGTGTGAGCAACAGCAGACTGTGGCATACGGTTACCAGCACCAGTTTCCATGGCAAAGAAATTAAAAATAAAAATACATTTTAAACACGTGCGAGAAGCGAGAAGTTGTTCCATATGCGTTGCCCCACGGCACTTCGGGGGTCGGACTCCTCTTCTCAGACTTGAATCCAAAACGGGAGTATCTGCCACTCCAACTGCAATGTCAGAGCCCGCTCCACGGCGATGAGCCGCAATGCCACTTTGACTGACAATTAATTTCAATTGCGCATTCGCGTTAATCGCCCTAAAAAAAGAAGGGACTTGGCCAGAGAGGGAGCCAAGCCCCAAACAGCAGCGAAAGATCTCCATGGTAGCAGAATTAACTTGAATTTTCCAATACACTGCGGGAAGTGCGTGATGGAGTTGATGCGGAATTACTGAGAAATTCTATGCAGATAATATTTATTGATTTTTGATTTTGCATCTCTTCTCAGCTTTCGTAATATATTTTCTCAAATTTTCCTCTCAAATTCTTCATCTCGAAACACCATTTTTGCTCAGTGTATTTCTAAATATATGTAGGAGTACGCTCCACACATTTTTTGTAGCATTTCCCAGTGTGTCGCCTGCTGCTGCTGCTGCAGGAGATTAAAAATATAAGTGACAGGCAGACACAGGGCCAGGGAAACTGTTTTATCTCGCAGCCCGAAAGGAAAATGTCAAGTTCAAGAGTCATTACAGCTGCTGCTGCTGCTGCTGCTGCTGTTCCTATGAGGGGACGGGGGAAAACTGCTTCGAAGTGCGAGGCATGCATGAATGATATAGAAATGAAGAAATGTCCAAAGGAACTGAAAAAAGGGGGTCGAAAGTGCTGCTTCAGCTGGGCGAAAGCGGACTAGGGGAAAAGTGGATTAATTTTGACGTTTATGATGGCGGCTCAGAGTGCTTTAATTGATTTAAGGGGGAAGAAGGAATTACGGAAAACTCCCATCGAGTGTGCATCATCATCATCATTGTACGGGAATTTACGGGGCGGAGGCACGTGGTGCACAGCAGTGCCTGGCG